AACAACAATAACAACATATAGTATTAAAGTGTTCTACAAATACCTACCGATAAAATAACCTTACAATGGATAAATCTGGCAGTCCTATCTTAACCAAGTAATCTAAGCGAACAAATAACCCCAGAATTACATGAACTGACATCAAGTGCATGCTTTTGACAGGATGTTCTGAGAACATTTTATTTCTGAGATTTCTGCCAACAATGAATACCATCAATCTATCACAAGGAAGCAAAAGATAAACTCAAATTCAAGATGTATCTTCAAAATATCTGGCCTTTACTCTTATAAAATGTCAAGTTCAGAGGTGCATTGCAAAGTGAACTGGGAGATGGGGGAAATGTGCAGTAATAAATGGATGAATAAATAAATAAATAAATAAAGTGTTGTTGCTGTCAGGTGCCATCGAGCTAAGCACAACTCATAGTGACCCTATGAACAAAAGATCTGAACCTAGTCCTGTCCTGCGCCATCCTGACACACAAGAGCCCACTGCAGTAGTGACCATGTCAATCCACCTGGTTAAGGGTCTTCCCCTCCTTTGCTGACCCTCCTCACGTCTCAGCATCATGTTACTCTCCAAGGAATAGCCCCTTGGAGTCTCCTTATTTCGTGACCACAAAACTGGGTGGGAATCTGAAACAGGGTGTGCATAAACTAATTATGGGATTTATCAGTTTCCTCAACCCAACACATTTAAACTGAGCAGGCTGAGCAGCAGCAGAATGGGAATCGCACTAAGCAGCAGGAGAGAATGTGGGGCCCATCCTCTGGGGCCTGTCAGAACAGGACTACACACAAGCAGAAGCCTCAGCAGAGAACCAGGGACTGACATGAGGCGAGCTGACCTGAGACTGATGCCCCACAGAGCCCGAGCCAGGGTCTTTCACCTAAGCTCCCTGCAGGAATGAGGGGAGATGCTATAATTGGCAGGATGAAGGGAATTTTCTAACATTGACTCAAGCCCTGAGGCTGAAGGGTAAAGGGCCTGTGAGCATGTCTGAGATGCCTTCTTGATCGAGACATTGTATCCTGTTGCTAACCTGAATAACCTGTTAACTTCCCTAATGAGTCCCCAAAAGATGAGCTTACTTCAGTGAGATCTGAGTTGCCTCTGCAATGGAGTGTGATCAGTGTTGGAATGAGAAGTGTGTGTGTGATAGTGTGCACACCATGTCTGACCTTATGGGAACTGGTTTTGTATTGTGGAGGCTGCTGATGGGAACTGTTCCCATTTGAGACATTAATAGAGGTCAGATGTGGCCGTTCCCAAGCTGCCTCCACTCTATTTACGAGGGTAAAGGAATATTATGGCTACCATTTACTCTCAAACATGTCAGTAAAAAGATTACCTATAGAGAGAAAGAGAAAGCAATCATAATAAACTGTTACCATTTGAAGCTTCTGGGCTGGGGGGGAAGTGTAGTGGAATTCTTGGTTCTCTCTATAGATCACAAACTACGTCAAAATTTAAAAAGGTATTGTTGTTGTTGTTTTTTAACAACCTAAAAGGTATTTTTGGTAGGTGTTAATATTATATTTTAAAAACATGATATAGATACAAACCTTCTCAGGAGTAACATAGAGAAGTTTTATAATCGGGTCTTTCTTTGATAACTGGAGGTAAATACTTGCAGCTTCTGAGTCAGTCTTATCACCTGTCAGATATGTAGCTGGAATCTGTAACAGGAAACAAATGAACATTTTAAATCCATCTTATAATCTGACTTAATTTTATATTTAGCCTTCAATTTTACAAATATTTTCTAAGTCATGTCAAGCCTGTCACCAGAATAAAAGAATACAATATGATATATGCAATATAAAACTATAATAGAAATATAATATAAAGGTATATATAATACAAAGAAGAATCAGTACAAAGGAAAAAAAAACCCACACCAAAACAAAGAAATCAAACCCAAAAACCACATATTAAAATGTCTTCCTAAACTCAGTTTTCTACTTTTCATAAACTATATTTTTGAAAAGTTAAATTTATTACTTTTACAGTCTCCTCAGTTGTTATTTCTAAAAAAGAGAAATACTAAAATAACACCCAAGAGATTCCAGTCTTAACCTATGATTATATTTTTCTCAAAAGATGTTTAGAGCACAAACATCATGAAGGAGCCGTCTTATGAACAGCTGAACAATGGCACCCTCACTGTTCTTACATATTCTTCTAGAAAAGTCACGTTAGTGGTGGTTGCTGAGGGGTAGTGGCTCCTGACCTTCCTAGATCACAATATGTAGGATTTAGTAGAGTGCGTCCAGACACTGTCTTCACCTCAGACTCAGAGAAGAAAGAGACACATATGTACATGCACATATGCTAACACATAAGATAGAAGAGGATGATTTGGCAGCAGTATAAAAGGAAGAACTTTCACATTCAAAGTTAATGAGTCAAAGTCACTGCTGTGGAGTCAGAAGCGACACAGCTGACTGGTCAGCAGACTCTTGCAGGCTGTAAATTGCACAGGAGGAGAATACTCATCTTTCTTATACAGAGTCACTGGTGGATTCAAACTGACAGGGAGGTGTAACTTTTGGGTTAACAAAAAAAATCCCTAAAAATCACATCAGCCTAGAACAGGTAAAAATTCCTACTAAAAGATATTTGATGGGCAAAAGCTGAAACTGAACTTCAGAAGCTTAACCGTGCATTATTATTTCAGTTCCTGAACTATTTAATAAAGAAGTTAACCAGAAGTAGTGACATACAATTGTGCTGACAGCACATTTTCCTTATAACTAGTAATGCTGTAACTTACATCCAAGGACGTCAGCTTTTGGACTTGATCTACTATTAGTGATCTCAAGGGAGAGATGACAATAGTGACCCCAGGAGAAATGCAGGCGGGTAGCTGGTAACAGAGACTTTTCCCACCTCCTAAAAGAGAAATAGCGGAACAAATTGGTCAAATCTACTTTAGTAACAATAATTAGAAAACTGACCAGCTATACTAATTAAAATTATTAGCTACCAGAACATTAGGCAATACTTCTTATAGTAACAACAATTTGCTATATTTAAATGGGCCAAAATATTTTGGCAACTTAACTAACAGGTCAAAAGGAACTCTTGTGAATATCTTACACAGGCATATGTCATTGCAAAACTACACCTTCATGGCAGATAATTTAAATGCAATCACTCATTCACTGCTATTGAGTTGGAACCAACTCACTGCTGACCCTCCAGTGGGTTGTAAATTTTGAGAGAGGAGATTGCCCATCTTTCTGCCACAAAGCTGCTGGTGGATTTGAACTGCATGCTTTTGGACTGGCAGTGCAACTCCTTACCCACCAGGCCACCAGAGCTCCTGTAAGTGCAACAGAATTACTTAAGAAGTCTACTTGGTTGGGAACTCTGGTGGCCTAGTGGCAAGAAGCTGCACTGCAATCCCAGAGGCATGCGGTTCAAATTCACCAGCTCCTCTGCTGGGGAAGGAGGATCTCCTGTACCTGTCACAAACACAAAATAGTATTAAAATAAATAAAAAAAATTTTTTTTAAAAAAAAAGAAGTCTACTTGGGAAATCAAAATGCAGTAAACTTTCTGTTTCTGGTAGTAAAAGGGTGTTAAAATGAACATGCACAATGAGATGAAAATCCTTCCTGTATAATATCTAGGGAGCTCTGGCTAAGGAGTTGAGAACAACCTAAAAGTATGTAGTTCAAATGCATCAGCTGCTCTGCGGGAAAAAGATGAGCATTCACCTCCCACGTGATTTACACAGTATCTGCTGTGTGACTTAATTAGGTATATGAATTTAGATCTGTCATTCTCACTGTGGCTCAATTTTATTATCTGCTAAATATCTTAGACCAGGGGTCTTCAATATTTTTGTGGTCTAAAAGAAAGCTTGTTTGGAATCTTTATAGACTCAATAAATCAAAAGGTGAAACAGGAATGAGAACCCACTGGCGGACCAGCTATGACTGTAGAAGAAATTACAGGGTCACACAGCAAACAAGACAATATGACCCTAAACCACAATAAACATGGTTTAACATTTCTTTGACAATTCTTAAGGTTGGAAAGGTTTAAAAAAAATCATTAGTAACAATCTCTTAACAATGAATATCACAACATTAACTTCTACTGCTCTGGTGACTTAGTGTTAAGGAGCTGCACAGCCAACACTGAGGTATGTGGTTCTAGTCCACTAGATGCTCTGTGGGAGAAAGATGGGCAATCTCATCCCAAACCCACTGGAAGGTCAGCTGCGGGTCAGTTCTGACTCAATGGTACTCAACAATTCTGTTCCATAAAGTAATAATCCCAATCGTTCTTGAAATACAAGAAGGGGAGAATTGCATTTGTGCATTCTAAACAGAGGATGAGGAAAAAGAAATGTCAAGGGACCCTTAGCAATTCTCTGTAGGAAACTCTAGTTCATAGCGGTACTCCCTTCAGTGATCCCTGAAACACATATTCCTGTCCTTCAATGTCACACAGGTACTAATGACAGACAGAAGCTGAGCCAAGAAGTTTCTAGGTCTTTGGTTTTTATACCACTACACATCACAGTCTTTCTTTTTAACATGTATTATCAGTAAATTTCACTTAAGTATATATGTGTAAATGTCAAAGAAAGAGCAGGATGATGAGGATAAAGAGACCTGGTTCTAGCTTCTGCCCCGTGACTTAATTTAATCAGTTATGTGAGTTCAGATATACCATTCTCACTGAGGTTCTCTTTTATTACCTGCAAAAGACCGGAGATAAGGTTTCTTCGATTTTTTTTTCTGGTCTAAAAGAAATCTTACTTGGAATCTTTCTATTCACAATGATAAGTCAACAGGTGAAACAGGAATGGAAAGGTCCTCAAAATGTCTCCTGAAACCCTAAACTAAATGCACTGCTGTTGAACTGACTCCAAGTTACAGCATCCCTATGGGACAGAGCAGACCTGGTCTCATTGTGTTTTCAAGGCTGTAAATCTTTACAGAAACAGACTGCCATGTCTGTCTCCTGCAGAACAGCTGGTGGGGGTCAAACTGCTGACCCTGAGGTTAACAGCCATGTGTTTTAGGCCACCTTGTGAGGTTAGAAGCTCTTTAACCATAGCTCCTTCTGAAACCCTACAGGACTCTTGAAATCACAGGTTTAGGTGATGGCCAGGGTTCCTTCTAGCATTAGAGTTTCATCGTATCAAACTGAGGATAAAATGGAAGACCCAGTTTGATCAACAAGTTAGTGAAACGTGAAATGCTAGTTATTAAGCCCCATGGTCTAAATCTGAAATAACAATTTGCAAAACTCCAGAAGCACAGGTTGCATTATTGAATAATGATGGCAACAACGAGGCTGCTGAAGGTTACAGGGAGATGAGTGAAAGGCAGAGGTGGGACGCCCACCGAGAGAACTGTGCTCCAGAATTCTCCAGCCTGCCTTTCACAAGGGCTTTCAAATATTTATTAGCCATGAATAGCTGAAGAAATGCAGCAACCTTGTTATGAAATACTTATTAATGGCTTATTTAAAATTCTTACTTGAATGACTATAAATCATTGAACAGCTGCTTTAATAATACAATGAAAAATCCTGGACTTCTTTAAAATTGGGGCCAACAAAGAACTTCACAAGGATCCCCATGGTGTGCTATGACGCGCACACATAAGAGAACTGAGGTTGAGGGAGCTAAGGTACGTGCAGGGCTGAGCTTGAAAACCCAACTGCCATTCCACAACTGGACCACAATGCTCCACCAGGCTCTTCTATTGTTGTATGTGGTTGAGTTGGAACCGACTCATAGCTGACTTTCCAGGCTTTTCAGAGGCGATTCACTGCATGGGAGGAGACTTGCGGAACAGCTGGTAGATTTAAAGAGTTTGCCTTTTGGACTGTAGCGTGGCTTCTTACCACTAGGCCACCAGAGCTTGGACTGCAACTAAACTGCTAGAAATGGTTATATTTTCTGATTTTTTGTTGCTGTTGTTAGCTTTCCAGATTTTGACTAGAAAAACGAAAATGTTCTGAGAGGAGGGAGAAAGGAAAGAAATTCTAGATCAATCCAACACAATAAGCATTGGGCTGAAAATGTTAAAGGGCTAAATTGTTATCTTGTCAACAACCAGAACAGAGGATATGAGAAAATACACTTTAATTCCTCTGGCATGGGAGGTTCAGAGGTCCCTAAGCAATAAAAACCCTGTCTAGGTATTCTTTTTATTTCTGTTAAAGAGTTTTCATTTAACATCTGTCAATGGACTTCTGCCAATCCATGTGTAAAAATACTTACCAGTGGGCATTAAGATGAAACAGTCTTCACCAAGCAGTGCAGCATTGATTGCCTCAAGCTGATTAGTTCTAAAATTATGCAGGCCAAATTTTTTATGAAAAATCTTCATCATTTCTTTTGTGTGTGGTAAAGTGAGACTTTGGAAACGCTCATGATTCAGATTTCTGACTGCAAAACTTTGTTCCGACTTGTCTAGGAAAAGAACCAACATGAAGAAAATGAATGCTTTCATGGACCAAGTCTGTCCTATCACTGGTGTGCATTGCCCTGTAATACCCTCCTTCTTCTACCCTTTACTGCGGCTTCCTCCCTGACCACTCTATACATGCTTAATTCAAGAGATTTTCCACAGGCCAAAGTCAGGGTTTTGTTTTGGTTTTTTTTTTTTTACTTTTACTCAGCATCTACTATTAACAGACACCCCCTCCTTTCTCTTCCCCCTGGACCTTCAAGACAATCATCGGTCTTCTACTTGCTGTAAATTCCCTGGCCCTTACTCCACTTCCTCCAAGTACCCCAGAAATTTGGAAGTATTTTAGATATTCAAGACTGGGTATCTTATTTTTTAAATTCTATTTTGTTAATATGGTAATGATTCTGAATGATTGTGATTTGAGTGAAAGTTTACAAATCTTGTTGGCTTTTCATGCAATCATGCAGATGTATTTTGTTTTACAACATTAATCACAATATCTCGAATGTCTGGTCATTTCCTTGGCGTGTCCTGCCTTTCCTTTCACTCATCTTAATGTCCATTATCTATTTATTAATTTTTACTCTCCTCTCTCACCCTTTCATCACTGCTAATCACTCAAAAAAGATTCTTTCTGTGTATAAACCATTCTTTTTTTCCTTTGTGTCTGCTGAGTATGAACTGACCTATAGCTGTCCTTCCAGTGGGTTTCCAGAGGCTGTAAATCACATGGGAGGAGATTAACCACCTTTCTCTCCTGGAGCATCTGGAGGAGTCAAACTGCATGCCTTTGGGTTGGCAGCACAACTCCTTACCACTAGACCATTAGAGCTCTTCACCTTTTTATAATGGTAGGTTTATCCACTACTTGTTGTTTTGTGACTGACTGACTACACTGAGCACAATGTTCTCTGGCTCTATCCATTTTACGCAGTGTTTTGTGAATTCTTTCTTTTTTAGTGTTGCATAGTACTCCATCGTGGGAATGTACCATTGTTTATCTGTTCATTGGCTGATGGATGGTAGGGTTGTATCCATCTCTTTGGTATTGTAAATAACGCTGCAATAAATGTGAGTGTGCATATATCTGTTCCTGTCAAAGTTCTTACCTCTTTAAAATATCTGTCAAGTAGTGGGATTGCTAGATCAAATGGTATTTCCATCTTCAATGTATTTAAGGAAGTGTCAAAAGGCTATCCATAGTGGTTGCAGCACTTAACATTCCCCTCAGCAGTGCATGTATGTTTCAATCTCTCCATGCTCTTGCCTGCATTAGTTATTTACTCTTATTGAACTTCGCTATTGCTGTGGGGTGAGATGATACCTCATTGTTGTTTTGCTGTGAGTCTAAGACCTAGGTTAGGGAGTTCTAGTGGTATCGTATGTCACGTGTTCTGCATCTAACCGAATGGTTAGAAGCGGAATTCACAAGCAGTTCCATGGGAGAAAGTTAGGCTGTCTCCTCTGACAAGACATACAGCCTTGGAGACCTGATGGAAGGTTGCTGTAAGTTAGAACTGACTTGATGGCAGTAATTTTTTTCCCCAAAACAGCTAATATACACATTCTTTTGTTCCCCCCGCCCCCAGCTCTGTAATTGTAAACATCACTCCTGTGCAGAGACTGTCTAGCACTCCCTCTCAGGATTTGACTGATATCCCTAAATTCAGTTGCGCATCCATCTCCAACTGCCTGTCAAACATTTCCACTTAAATGATTTACCAACACTTTATGCTCAACAAGTTTTAAATAACCAAAAGAGCCTCTGCCTGCTGATTCCCTCACTTCCCTTCGCGGTGGCACAGCTCCTCCAGTCACCCCGGTTGGCATGTCAGAGATGTCGAAGCCTCCAGACTCCCTCTTCATAACGTCGCTCCCTTTGCCCAGACCTGCACCCTCACTTCCTCCCCTCGAGTTCAGCACAGAGAACAAGCCGGTGCTCACGGCAGCTCTGACGGTTTCTCTAATCCCAACAACTCAACTTCTCAAAGATAATTGCAAACATCACAGATGACACATTTGAACACGATACAAAAATAAATCTATAAATGGTTATTTTAAAGGTCAACAGCGTAATTAATTATAAGAATTTGCATAGTATTAAGTCACCGATGGTAAAAAATAGGAAGGGCTGTACTTTTAAGACCTCGCACATAAAAACTTGTTTCCGTAAAAAAAAAACAAAACAAAAAACCAAAAACAAAAACAACCAAAAAACCAAACCAAACCCAAAACCATTTTGTGGTAACTTTATAGGGTTGATGTAAGGTTTTAAAGTTAATTTTGCCTTTCTGTGCTAACTTCAGTCCTCCAAAAATGTTTCACTCTTGGTAAACTGTCAGCTCCTCGCAGAGAGAAACTACAGGCACCCCTCATTATAGCCCGCTTCGTTCCATTTCTTTTCTGAGACACGGCAACCCTGTGAGGCGCAGGTCTAATCGTGTCATTTTTCCGAAAGCATGGGCTCACTTTATATTTCCGTGTGACAATTTGGTAATTCTCACAATATTTTAAACGTGTTCATAATGCTATTGCGAACTTGACAGACTATAGAGCATTTGTGTGACTCTTTTTATTGCTATTTTTGTGTTAATGGGATGGTCTGGACAAATTCGCAATACTGCAGGAGTGTACCTGTGTTCATCATTCTTCTTTCACCAGAACCTGGCACATAGTAGGTATTCTACATCTGTTGTGTGAACTGAAGGTCTCATTAAAGCATAATTTAATTCAATTTAAAAAGAAATTCCTGACTTTGTGATTTTAGGATATTTTACAACCTTAAGATACAGAACTTGCTTCTTTACTTTAAAAAACCAACCAATTCTCACCAATTCCAGAAGTCTAAAAGTAGACGTGATTACAACTCCAGCATATAAATTCATCTTGGCTTTTACCCTTCCCCAAAATCATTTAAAAATTGGCCCTCATGAGCTTTATTGTTTTAAGGACTAAAAGATGTTAATTTAAAGGCAAAGCACATTTGTAATGACTTTAGAGCCTTACTACAATAGGTTATAATTACACATTTTTTTAAAAACTACAGCTGCTACAGAGACAAAAGAGCAACTTGCTTTTGAAATTGTGATTTGTAATTCATATTATCAGTAGAAATTTGCATAGAAACAATGTCGTTTGCAGGCAATGATGGCTTGCTGTGGTTTCCTTTTGCAATCCCCCTTTGGTTTTCATGTAACACATCAGCATCTGAATTAGTCTTAAACTTACCACTACAATCGGAATCGGAGAAACTTGTCTTTTGAGCGGTAGAAGCCACTGGGAGACAGTTTGTCTTGGCTGAAGAAATTCCTTTTGAAACTGACACAACTGGCCGCCCTTCCTTAATGGCCGGATAGACAGCTGTGTGAGATCTGTTGACTGTTAAATTCTGCATTAGACTGTCCCACTCATCATCATCATCAAAGTCGTCTATGTCAAAGCGATCAACATCACAGGCGGCCTGGATCCCGGACAGCTCTCTTTTCTCCAGGTCGGTGGCTGAAGCCGCGTGCTTACTTGGGTCCTTCACAGCCGTGCTTGTGAGAACCTTGTCCAGGAAACAAAAGCTTTCATTTCTTCCTTCTCTCCCTGGTGTCTCAGCATACTCATTATTTACAAAGGACTTCTGTAAATGGGCGCCAAAGAGCGGTCTTTCAAAATGATTCTTTGTGGTGGTTGAGAATCCTGTCTTTCCTGGGGTAGTAGTTGGTAAACATTCCTCAGAGGAAGTGGAATTTGAGGGAAGGTGTGGAAAACGTAATCCCTTATCAGAATTCCCAGGAGTGGAGAAGTCTCTCTGTGAAAATTCCGCCACTTCTACAGGGTTATCAGGTAAGCCAGGCTCACCTCTCCACAGCGAGTCAAGTATAAGTAAACCAGGATCACTTCCGTTAGAACCTGCCTTAGCAAGGAGCTTCCTTCTACAGAGAAAAAAGAGAAGACCATATGAAATATGAGTAGTCTTTGATGGCTGGTCACATAAGTATATCTTCAGTTTTCATTCCAAACATCGTGGCAAAATATATCCTCTTTTCTATTGAATATAAATACTAAAAGAACAGCTCAGAGAAGCAAATGAATTAAAACCAGATGGACAATGTTAATGAGAACACTCTAAATAAATTCCTGGTCAGGATGCCAGGAAGTGTCGCTGTTTGATTTTGGCTTAGATAAGTGGAAATGCAATCAGAAAAATCAAGATACCTTACATTTCGGTGCTCCAGAAGTTCATGCCCACACTCCAAAGCATTCAGCTGATCAGCAGGAACGGCATCAATTAATTTACAGATGTCTTCCATCACCTGAATAAGCTGCTGCTGCAAGCTTAACCGTCCAACTAGAAAGTAATTATGTTATTTTATTTCCCCTTGAAAACAAAAAGGACTTAAGATTTTCAAATAGTCACACTTGTGCAATTAGAAATAGAATATCCTGTATCTACCAGGAAATAACTCAAAAAGAGGTGGTCTCTCTAGTCTGTGTCATGAGAACTAATGACTGAGTTTTTATTTAAGGTCTCAAATGGATGTCAGGAGAGACTCTAAAAATTGCACTGGAGCATCCAGAAGCCAAAACAAAAGGAAAACATGCTGAAGTAAAAGAGCTGACCAGAGGATTTCAAAGGGCAGCTCAGGAGGACAGAGCAAAGTATTATAATGGAATGTGCAGAGAGCTGGAATTGGAGAACAAAAAGGGAAGAATTCGCTGTGCATTTCTCAAGCTGAGCGAACTGAAAAACTAATTTAAGACTCCTGTCACAATATTGAAACATACATATTATGGATAATATATTCAATGACCCAAAAAGCATCAAAAGAAGATGGAGGAAATACACAAAATCATTGTACTAGAAAGAACTGACACTGAAAATTTCAGGAAGTACCATATGAGCAGGAGCTAATGGTAATGAAGGAGGAAGCTGCATTGAGGGAACTGGGAAAAAAGAAGGCCCCAGGAATCGATGGGATACCAACTGACTTGTTTCAATTAACAGATGCAGCCTTGGATGTGCTCACCAGTCCATGCCAGGAAATTTGGAGGCCAGCTGTCTGGCCAACAGATTGGAAGAGGTGCATATTTGTTCCCATTCCCAAAAAAGGCGATCCAACTGAATGTGGAAACTACTGAACAATATCCTTAATATCACAAGCAAGAAAAATATTGCTGAAGATCATTAAAAAACTGCTAGTACAGTACATAGATAAGTATCTTCCAGAACTTCAAGGAGGATTCAGAATAGGCTGTGGCACCAGGGTCATCACTGCTGATGTCTGATGGATTCGGCTGAAAGTAAGGAATACCAGAAGAATGTCTGTGCTTTATGGCCTATGCAAAGGCATTTGACTGTGTGGATCATAAGTTTTGGCAGACACTGAGAAGATTGGGAGTCCCAGAGCACTTGATTGTGTTCATGAGGAACCTATGCCTGAACCAGAAGGCTGTTGTGTGAACAGAGCAGGGGGACACTGCATGGTTTAAAACTGAGAAGGCAATGTGTTAGGGTTGTATTCTCTCTCCATACCTATTCAATCAGTATGCTAAGCAAATTATTCTAGAAGCTAGATTCTATGTAGAGGAGTGTGGCATCAGGATTGGAGGGAGACTCATCAATAACCTGCATCACGTACATTACACAACCTTCCTTGCTGAAAGTGAGGAAGACTTGAAGCACTTGTAGCAGAAGATCAAGGAATGAAGCCTTCAGTATGGATTGCATACTGGTGTTAAGAAGACAAAGATTCTTACCACTGGACAAATAGGCAACATCGTAATGGATGGAGAGATTGAAACTGTCAACAGCATCATCTTGCTTAGATACACAATTTACAGCATTGGTACCAACATCAGGAGATAAGGAGATCATTGCACTGGAAGAGTTTGCAGTTAGGAACCTCTCCAAACTGCTGAAGAGTAATGATGTCAGTTTGAGGACTTAGGTGCATCTAGTTCAGGCCACAGTCTTTCTGATCACTTGCTATGCATCTGAGATCTTGACAATGAATAAGGATGACAAAAAAAGAATTAATGCTTTTGAGCTGTGGTGTTGGAGAAGAGCACTGTACATCCTGTGAACAGCAAAAAGAACAAACAGATTTGTCTTGGAGAAGGTGCAGCTGGAGTGCTCTTTTAAGTCGAGAATGAAGAGGCTTTGCCTCACATACTTTGAGCATTTTGCTAGAGGGGCTACTCCTTGGAGAGGGACATGATGGTGGGCAGGGTGGAGGGTCAGTAAAGAAGATCCTGGACCAGGTGGGCTGACATGGTGACTGCTTCAATAGGCTCTTGTGTGTCAGAAAATGTGAGAATGGCACAGGATAGAGCAGAGTTCTAGAACTTTTGTTCATAGGGTTACTAAGAGTCATACTCGACTCAACAGCTCCTAACAACAACAATAATAACAACATTCTGTGTTCTGAGGACTCATAATTGTGTCTTTAAGATCTCTACTCTATGTCATAATTTATAATTGAGTTTTTATTTAATTTCATGTTAGTTCTTGATATTTCTCTTTAAGTTAGAAGACACAAAAGCATCAGTTTATCATGAATTTTTACTAACCCCAGACATAAATCTCACTGTGCCTATACAAAGTATATCATAAAATCTTGGACAGACAACACCTGCTGCTTTGGCCTGCTTGGGACCCAGGCTTCATTTTAATGGAAAAAGCCACACAGCACCCAGTTTTTCTTTTGGAGACACACCCTCTCCTACGGGGCACCTCATGTGAGGCAGCCAAAGAGAATGAGCAGTGAATTGTTAGAAGGCTAAGAAAGAGGATCTCCATTTTCTGGAGATGTGTCGAAAGCTACTAGTGGGCTTCTCTACAACCTACAGAGAATAATAATCCAGTTTAGGAATAAGACCAACATAATGGAAAATATAAAACAGAGACACAGGGAGGAAAATACAGAGAGAGGAAAAAAAGAAATGGCTGAGGTAAGAAATTCTTGATGACAATCTTTCAACATCTGAATCTACCTAGTCTAGGTTTTTGGGGTGTGTGTGTTTTTTTTTTGTTTTTGGTCTGTTTCTGTTATTTCTAACAAAAGTTATGATTACCATGGGATTGCAAGTCTTGTATCACATCCATATGTGACTCCTACTAGAGTCAGGATAAACCAAGTGCTACGTTATAGGGGGATTTACCAGTTACATTCCAAACATATTTTCTCCATTTTTTTGAAAGGCGGTGCTATGGGGTCAAGCAGAGAAATGTTGCCTCTTTTAGCAAAGCAAAACTGAGTCTAGTTCAAGTTGCTCTTGAAAAATCTCTTAAAACAGTTATAGAGGATGGTATACATGGTTATCTGCATAGTAATTCTTTGGCATATAAAGAATACATACATGTTTAAGCTACACTAAGTTAAATAATTGAATATAGATGCCTAGACATCCAAACCTATCTTTAAGATAATGATAAATTCCAGAAGAGGGGAAAAATAGATGGAAAATTCTGAACTGTTTCTAATGGTGACTGAGTTAAACAGGGCCATGAGGCACAAGATGGAAAAAGCAGAAATGCTTCGTTCTTATTTTACTTCTGTTTTCTCTGAGGAAGAATGGGCATCAGATTGCAACTAGGAACATAAACAATGGTCTGAAAGAACTTAAAGCCAAGAAGACAGGCTCAGAGAGAAACAAGAGCACCTAGCTATTGGGAAGGAGCTCAGACCTCCTTCTCCAGACAGATTACACCACACAACACAAAGAAAATACACATACACAAGATCTTGGAGCCACTGTTCCTGATATCTGAAGCATTTAGTGAATAGCAGAACTGATGAAAGACTAGACAAGCAAACCTTGTTCTCATTTTCAAAAAAAGACAAAAGTGATTGCCAAAAAACACAGGCTGATAAGCTTGATGTCAATGCAAGTCAAAACTGGAGAACGTGCTATCAAACGGCTGCTTAGTGAGCTCTGAGGAGAGGAAATAATTGTGGGATTAGCAAGCGTTCATAAAAACAAACTGGCCATTTTAATGTATTATTTCCTTCTTTGAAAGGATTACTAGAAAGGCTGGCAGTGTTTAGTGGAGGCCTACAGTGTACTGGGTACTTTACCGTGAATCCTGATAGCAGCTCAGGCAAGGTAGATTGTATCTTGACCACTTTGCAGAAGACTAAAGTTCAGAGAAACTTTACGAATTTGCCATAGTCGCATTGCCAGGACTGAGGCTTCTACCTCAGATCTTGTTTCCTCCACCCCCAGTGCTGCACCCACTTGCCCTCAGATTCTGAACTTCCTGCATCCCGTAGCCAAGCTGTGTCTCCATGACAAAGCCGAGAAGCATGGCCTGACAAACAGACTTGTAAATGACTGACCACAAAGTGGTGATGAACTGATTTATCGCCTTTGAAGTGTACTGTCAGGTGAGAGGGAGGGACCTACAGACATTCTCTAGGATTCTGTCCTCATGGTTTCAGTGCTGAAACTTAATGCTGTAGAGATAGCCTCGTGCAGTAGTTAGAAACGAAATCAAGAGTTTCAAGACTGCTTGGCTTCAAATTCCAGCCTGCTACTTTCTAATCTATGGCTTTACACAGTGATTTAACTCTCCTGGACCCCAGTTTCCATGTCTATGAGACAAGGGCAGCCTACACTATCTTGAAAGGCTGATGTGAAGGTTAATAGTGGGAGGCATTAAAAAAAAAAGGTCTAGGATATCAGGTATTTCAGAAAGTCTACCTACCAGGAAACTGAAGGATGAAAATAACAAATAAGCAAAATTTAAAATATTCAGAGGAAATGGAAACAACACCGAGAGAGCAGCAGAACAGGGCACACAGTGTATGTGCTTGCACACACAGCCACCCCAGAGGGGAAGCACAAGGAACCAAAAGAACGCCTGTAAATAGATTTGGTAAGACGGAAAAAAGCCACTGACAAAGATAAGAATTAAGAAAATCTCTCAGAAAGCAAGCAAGAGGTGGGCAACAGGAAATATAATTAATGGAAATCTAATATCCAAACAAGGGCGCTCTGGTGGTCTAGAGTTAAGGAGCTGTGCTGCCAATCTGAAGACATGCAGTTCAAATCCAAGAGCTGGGCAATCTCCTCCCAGGGGATTTAGTGCCTCTGAAAACCTGCTGGAAGCTTTTCCGGCAGTGATCTCTACATGAAAACCTGCCTCTTGCAAAGGATCTCCTTCATCCCTCTATAGAAGAGGAGAAGAGGAAGCCCAAGAAGGGCCTGGTGTAGAGTCTGCACACCTCTTTCATGACTGTGAAATGCCCAGGATGCTATAAAACCACCATGCCTTCAGCCATGCACTAACAGTAGCTTGGGGTGTTGGCTGCTCCATTGCTCCCTGCCTTCAGAAGGAAAAGCAAGGCTTATACAAAGATGCTCCTTTAGACAGAAGCAGCTTTAAGAAAAACACGCTGAATCCAGATGAATGGAAAACTATCCCGGTAAACAGTTGTGGATAAACACCCAAACCAAACCTGCTGGAGGATCAGTCAGTTCTGACTCAGTTGTTATGGTGGTACGTAACAACAATATTCTGACAAAAGAATTCCAGCTGAGAGAAGTCTGAGGAGATCTCTTTACACTATATATATAATAGAAATAAGCAGTCAATCAAAGGACAAATCAATCAAACAAAAAGTAATGAACTTAAAGGGCCACCAAGACCCAGATAAGGAAGACTCACCAGACGATGAAGGGTCTAGAAATCATGATGTATAAACAATAGTTAAGTCTAAAAGGTTTATCTTGGAAGAAAAAGAAGACTTTTAAGACTTAAAGATTTACTTCATAAGGATTAAAGTTTAAAAGAGGTATATTTTGGCTCAATATGAGAAATAATTTCATAATATGTAGCATGTTCACAATAGGAATGAACTACCTTGTGAGGCTGGAAGCTCTTGAGGTGCTCCTGCAAATGCTGGCTGACCAGTGAAGAAGGATATCATATTAGAACAATAGAACTATAAATCTGCCATTGTATACAACACAGCCACAGGGTGAGAATACAATCTTACTTTCTTGTCAAAAGTAAGTAGATGAAATATGTGCTATGTCTAAAATACTTTTTGTACCATCACAGTCTGTGCCGGCTTCTTGATTAGACTGTTGTGAAGTCATTTTCTCAGGATTTGACGAAAGGTCCTTAGATGTGCTAAGAGCATCCTTCTCTCTGTCAGAAATGTCCAGGTCTTTTACCATGCTGCAGACAAAAAATGTAAAGCAGATCATAACACAGGCTAGACCATACAAATGAGTTATTTCTGTAACTCTCCTAATATTTTTTCTACAACTAGTCAGATAATGCATAATAGAAAAGAGATGTATTTTTCCATCTTTTTCAAAACCTCTGCAGCTGGCCCTTAAAGTCTTCCATCTTCTTGTCCAAAAGACCATTTCAATTTTATCTCCAATTGTGCCCTTTCAATAACCCCAGGCTCCGATTAAACAGTGTGGCTTTTGCTCTTCATATGAGCCCTACACTATCTATTTGTGGGATTTTGCTTCTGCCTGCCATTCCAATCTCTTCTTCCTCAGTGCACCTGCTCCTCTAGGCCCATCCCAAATGCTGCTTTTCTTACTCCTCCAGCAGGTGCTTATTATCTTTCTCTTCTGAGGTCTGAAAGCACTTTATCTGGACTTTTCTTATACCATTATGTCAATGTGTACATATCATTAACTCAAATTATATTCATAAATAAAAATATAGTTATCCTAATTAGATTAAAGGACACTTAACAAGTAACAAACTAATTGGTACTAAATTAATGTTAAAGAGGGTCCTATACTTAGTCAGCTATGAGTTGGTTCCAACTCCCAGTACAAAACAGAAACATGAGAATACAGATCTTTTTTTATTCATTGTGCTGGCCATGTGATGACTTTCACAATATCTAGAGACCTGTGCTTGTGATCTCTAAAAAAACATAACAATTTATGTGAAATGATTTTTCTTTATGCAACTCCAGTTAATTAATGTAGACTCTCTTGGAATTTTATAATAACATTTCTTTGTAAAACAAAACCAAACCAAAAAAAAAGAGGGAACTACAGAAACTCAAAGGATTGTAATCCCTACTAGTGCATAAGAAAACTTAGCCAAGGCGTAGGTGGCCTCCCTCGGGTCCTCGCTTCCAAGATGGTAAAGAAAAAAAGCAAACAACAGTTGTGCCAAAAAGGACCACCCGCTGAGGGCGTGCCCTAAGACAAGGCAATTAAGAAGTTCATAAATTGAAACATAGTAGAGGCAGCTGCCATCAGGGACACTTCCGAAGTGTCTTCGATGCATATGCGCTTCCAAAGCTCTATGTGAAACTGCACCATGTATGAGCTGTACCATTCACAGGGACCTATTTCATGAAGCTGAAAGGATGGAACACCTCCACCCAGATTTAGACCTGCAGATGCTGCCCCACGACTACCACCAAAGCCCATGGAAGGATCTGATTCCTCAAAGGATGAAGGAAAATGGAAATTATGCTTTTTCTTTAAAAATAGGGCAAGCTTAACCAAAGGGTAGGGTTTGAGAAAACAAAGTGATAGACGGTGAAGGAATGTTAAAGAACACAATTCTACGTACTTTATGTTTAAGAATCAACTATAACCAAGCATGATTTTAGAATATAATATTGTAACTAAATAAAAAGTGATGAATGATTGTTTCATATCACTTAAAATAACACATATACTTGAAGACATAACCTTATATTAAAAAGATATAGCTCTATAATTTCCCGTTGTTAAGTTTGCCTCATTTAGCTCACTGGAGCAAAGGGTTTTGGAAGGGCATAATTGGAGAGAAAGCTGAAAAGGTAGTAATTTGAGGTCAGAAAATGGAGAATTTGGAGGACCAGCTAAAGAGCTTTGGGATAGAGAAGCTCCTATATCGGTCTCACTTTTCCACTTCTGAAATTAAGTTAAAGGTCAGCATTTTTTAAAAAGAAAATTGAACAGAAAATAAAAGGGGTGCATGTACATAGTTAAAAATAAGAATCATTGGTAAAACCTTTGTAGCACTTTGAAATAAAACCAAACACTTGTACTGGGTTAAAAAGAACAATATGTTGATCTACTTTGTAAATAATAATTTTTTTTAATTTCTTAAGATCTAGATTAATTGTTCTATGGCAATTCAATAAATTATATACCCATATAAAGGTATAAAAAGAAAGACTATGGGGGCTCTTGGTGCCCTAGAGTTAGGTGCTGCACTGTCAGCTCAAAGGAACAAAGTTTGAATCCACCAGCTGCTCTGATGGACAGAGATAGGCAATCGCCTCCTGACATTTACTGCTTCTGAAAACCTGCTGGAAAGTCAGCTCTTTGTTGGTTCTGCCTCAATAGTATGTGCCAACATATGTAACATTATGGAAAACACCCTAAAAATAAAGCCAAGAGAAAAAAAGCAGAATATAAACTTATAACTACATATTGACTATTAACAATGCATTAAAAAAAAAAGCTAAAAAAAATTTAAAAAAAGCTAACACACATGAAAAGGGTCAAACTAAATAGAGAAAATGGTTTGAGAATGAATAAATACTTCTGTCTACTTAAAATATTGTTAATGTGGCTACAATGTTATTTGGGGAACACACATTTTAAAATAAAAAAACGAAGTCAGGTCTTGAGCAAGGCAGACATCAGCATGGCACAGGAGAAGGCCTAGTCTACTTGCCATCAACTGTATCCCTCTGGCAAATCCACCCTACTTCCGTGGGCCTCAGACACTCGACATGTTAAATGAGAATCAAGACTACATGAACTCCTTTAGAATTTCAAATTGCTACAATTCCCTCTATTACTACTGGAAAGGAAAAGAACAGAGGGATTGGAGTCTCTCATAGTTCTAGGTTTTGTCATCAAAGCAGAGTAATCATGCCCCAATCTCTCCTGCCTCCAAGTATATGAACACACTGATTAAAATATAAAACAAGAGAAACGAGGTTCTGCACACAAATACCCCCTTCTCGTTCTCTTTCTCTACATAAAGCCATGCACTACAGGGATTTGTTTCTCATTACAATATTGGTTAATAGCATGGGGTATAAAACAAAACTAAAAAGAACTCAATAGACTGTGGTGAGGGGGAGGTGTCAATGAAAATTAGTCATCTGAGCCGTTGATGGGTTATATGGGTATCTATTTTTTTATAATAGTACCAATTAACCACAACATAATAATACCAATTAACCACAGACACGTCAACAATTCGCTAAAATTCAATGAATAGCAAATACAATGGTCAATTCTATGCTGCAGGATTTAAAAAGACCCAGAATGATGTATTTTCCAAATAATAGATTCACTTTGCATCTTTTGAGCTCCAAAAACTTGGCAATGCCTTTAGGAATATATTTGCTTTGTTAAAATCAATTACATAAAAATAATTAAAACACTACCAATAAAGAAATGTATACACAGGGATTTTTTTTAAAAAAATGTTTTCATTTGGATGCAACATAAACTACACAGAAGCACAAAACACATTTCTATGGTCTTTACAATTACTTGTTATATGTCAGAGAGCTGGGCAATGACCAGGGATGATATAGAAAGAGTATTGGTGCCTTTGAGCTGTGGTGCTGGAGAAGAGTTGTGAATATACCTTTGACTGCCAGGACAACAGGTTCGTCCTAGAGAGAGTGAAGCCAGCCTGCTTTGTCTGACATACTTTGGACATTTTGCAAGGAGGGACCAATCCTTGGAGAAGGACATCATGCTTGGAAGGGTGGAGGGACTGAGAGGAGACCATCAATGAGATGGATTGATACAGTGACTGGGGTAATGAGGATGGGTGTGTCAGAAACAATAAAGTTGGCACAGGATAGAGCAGGTTTCAGGGCTGTTGTACATAGGGTCACTATGTTACAACATTTTAAGGCACATAACAACAACAATATAGAAATTATAGAACTAATTTATTCTAAGTTGTCTCAGAAATAAAAAATGTTTATTAACTATCTATTTTACCTAAAACTTTTTAAAGAGGAAGACGTGGCAGAAATTGCTTCTTCTTCTGGAGAAGGTGGGACAAAATCATTATCGAAATCCTCCTCATTAAGCTCAATACATGGAGATCTGTCAATAGAACGTAATTCTGCTTCTTCCAAAATTTTCTTCTTCTCATTGTTATCTAAAATGAAACAGTTGATGAACATAGATTATCTTAATAATTAATGAGACAGAAAGAACAAAGAGTCAGCATTTAAGAGGAAGTGTTTAGGGAGCTCTGGTGGCCTAGTGGCAAGAAGTGGTGCTACAATCCTGAAGGCATGCTGTTTGAATTCACCAGATGCCCAGCGCTGGAGAAGGATGAGCAATCTCCTCCTGTGTTAGTCCGATTGATGGTAAACAACAACAAAAAGAGCAAATGTTTGGGGCAAGACATAAATGATAATACCACTCTGTATGAATCTTTTCCTTTATACATTAATGTTGGCTTATTTCTTCATAATGATAATGGAGTCAACTGGATCAAATCTAACGAATGCTGGACTGTGGCCAGAAAGTTGCTTAAATGTTTTCACAACTACCTCCAGTTACAAAACTTCCATTTAGTACCAGTTATTTTTATTTTTCCATGTTTCATTCACATGTACATAAGGATTGTTGTGTTAGCTGCCATCAAGTAGGCCCCTCACTCATGGTGGCCTCACTGCAGAAAAGGATCCGATAATTGTGACCCATAAGGCTTAAAGGGCAACAAGGGAGTCGATAAGTGCACACACGTTGCTGTGTGGAGAGACAAACCAGCTCCACTCCACAGGCTTCCGAGCTGTGTAAGAGTCGGTGTGTCCCCCTGGAGCATGCTGGAAAACACAATGCCAGATTGCTGCTCCCTGGTTGGTAGCATAGTTGTTCAAGTGCCCAGCTCCTGCACATTATTAAAGCTCTGGGCTACATAAGGCCAGTCTTGGCTAATGACCTTCTGAGCGAGGGTGGGAAGTGTGCTGTATTAACTGGCAGGACTCCGTTAAAACCAGGAAAACTTGCCTCTATGGCTGGAGTTTGATAGTAGTTGCTGCCAGATATGTTTGGGTTTTGTTTGCTTGTTTGTTTTTTTAAAGGTGCCCAATTGCTAATCAAAAAGGTTGGTGATTCGAACCCACCAATGACTCCTCAGAAGAAAGATGTGACAGACTGTTTCTGTGAAGATGTGCAGCCTCAGACACTTTATGCGGCTGTTCAACTCTGACCTCAGGGCTGCTGTGAGAGGAAACTCACTCACTGGCAATGGATTTTTGCTTTACTTTTTATTATATTTTCTCTTTAGAGACAGTAACAAAATTGATTAGACAAGCAAAACTAACTATCAATCTTTTTCCAGTTCTCTCTGATATAACAGTAACCTCGTTGGATTCAGGTCATTTCTACAGACGGCTGACCTAAACTTTGGCTGTCTAATAACTGTGAGACCTATTCAGAATAGAATTCTGAATTTGGATAGTTAATAACGGTAAGATTTATTCAGAAGGTAGTTTATAATTCTTTAATCCCATGATTAGATTACGTTATACATAGGGGAAGCAAAACATAAAGGAATCTTAATAGAAAGGCTTAGTTTCACTTCAGAATTGTATCACTAACCATCCATTGATCTTTTAACAAATCATTTTAACCCCATGGGCCTTATTTTCTTCATATGTAAAATCACAGAGCTTCCCTGGGGATAATATAAAAAATCACGTTAGAATAGAATCTTCCATTCTGCTGTAAGTACCTCCTATCCTACGACTGTGGCCAACTGGCTGTGCCCTAAATACCTCTACAGATTCTAAGATACGTAAAGAAGAAAAGCTGTATCATACTCGCAATGGTCCCCAATGCCTCAATTCAATACACAAACGCAATCAATCAACATAAAGGAAGACAGTATTTTTTTTTTACCTCTTTCATCTCCCAAATGAGTTTTTAAAGAGGGACTTTCCCGAGTCCCGTTAGAAATGGAGTCATCCTCAATGCAAATCACTTCATTCTTTAACCATTCTGAGTCATCCTGCTGTTCCTCAGTTAAATCCACTTGCTGGCTTTTGAAGGAGGAAGGCGTCCAGCCAGTCTTTAATGTATTTGCTTCATGAAGCTGTGATTTTACAAAGTTTTTGTTTTCCCTGTTTGACTTCTGGGCAGTGCTCACTCGTGTGCTGTGAGTTCTCAATGGTGTAACGAAGGCTTTGGAATTCCCAGAAATATCAAAGTCATCCAGATCACCCCAATCGTTGCTGGTAATGAGAGAATCTGTTGAAGAACTGATTGCCAATTTCTTAAAGGCAACATCCTGGGATTCCCATAGAGTTGGCGTGTTTGGGGCCGAATGTGAATCTTCCTGTGATGTCTGTAACAAATCTGGTGTCAATGGTTTTGTGGCACCTCTGGGGGTCTGCTGTCCTGATGGAACACTTTTAAAGAAGTCATGGAGTCTCGTCTGCTGACTTGAGGCGTGGGGTAAAGTGACACTGAAGGAAAAGACCTCGGCAACATTAACATCTTTATCACTCAGCACGGGAGTTTGAGGTGTTTTTGCTATGGACACACTAGTTACAGATACATTGTTATCAGAAGACGTTTTCTTTTTAAAAGTGAAACCTCTGAAAAAGAATTGGTTAAAAAAAAAGAATTAGATTATTTTAATAAAACTTGAATAAGCAAAGAAGCCATTTCTCTCTGATTTATGAAGCAAATAAACCCACAGCCATTGTGCTGATTCAGCCTCTGATGGCCCTGGAGGACAGAATCCGTACAGGGTTTTCAAGGCTGTCCATCTTTATGAAAGACAGTCTCACCCTTCTCCCACTTAGTGGATGGTGGATTCAACTGCTAGCCTTCCTGCTCGACACTTAATCCAGTGCACCGCTTGTGCTCCTTTATACCACAGAGGATAACGAAATAATAGTTTATATGTTTTGATGCTTCCTATTCATGGGCTCGGGAGCTCTGGTGGCTCAGAGGTGAGGAAGTATGCTGTCAAGGCAAAGGCTGGTTTGAATCCACCAGCTGCTCTGTTGTAGAAGATGGGCAATGTCCCCCTGTGCAGTTTACAGCCTTAGAAAATGCACATAGGGGGTCAGCTGTGGACGGGTTCCGAATTGAGGGCCCACAGCAACCGACATTCAGGAGCTAATTCATTCCATTTTGAGGAATGAATTTTTCCAGCCCAATTCCACTACTTTCTCAGGTGAAAAACAAGCCTCTATAGTGTTGATTCCAACTGAGGATGACACCAAGTGTGTCAGAGCAGAATCGTGCTCCACAGGGCTGACAGCGGCTACGGTTTGTGAAAGTCGACAGTCAGGCTTGTCTTCCACGCATCTGTGGGTGGGCTCCAACCTCCAACTTTTCAATTAGTGGCCAGGAGCTTTAACCATTTGTAGGGCCTCCTATTCAAGATTGATAGCCAACAATTAAGACCTCAGCCAAGGAACTCTGGTGGTCTAGAGGCAAGAAGCTGTGCTGCAATCCTAAAGGCACATGGTTCGAATGCACCAGCTGCTACATGGGAGAAGGATGGGCAACTTTCTCCTATGTGATGAACTGTCTTGGAAAACCCGTTGGAGGGTCAGCTATGAGTCACTTACGACTCAAGGGCAAACAGCCACCACCAGTGGGAGAGGGCAGCAGGAGGCAAAAAGAAGAAACGGAAATATGTGTATGTTGCTACGCTGATGAACATTTTACCAGTGGTGGTGAGTTGGAAGAAAGAGAAAAACTACAAGTTTAGCCGAGATCTGAAAGACAAATAAAAGAAACTAGAATCCTGGCTATCTGCTGAGTGTAGTGGCATTAAGATCAATAATGACCTTAAAGTCAAGCCCTCTACAACAGAGGCCAGAACAGTGACCAAAATAAATAATACAAATCATCATTCGATACCACAAGAAGGGGTTTTAAGATACCTTGAGGGGAAGAATTGGAGAACTGTAGATGCCTTATAAATGGGTTCTGGGGGAAGGATCTAACAGTACATGAAAATATAAAAAAATATCCATATTCCCAAATTTATATGAGTCATTATTCAATCAACAAATATTTATCGAGCAATTATTATGGACCAGGTACTGAAAAGGTGCTGAATGACTGATTCACCAGTGCTCTGCTGCTAATTTGCAAAGTAGGAAAATCATTTACCCTCTGAGCCTCATTTCGTCTGTGCAAAGAAGGCTCAGAGCAGACACCTCATGTGTACAATACAAAGTGCCGGTGCCTGCAGGACAGCAAACCAATGAAACTACTTACGAAGGTTTTGGTTTTGAAAGAGTCACTTTATTACTGAGTTTTCTGGCTGAATGACGCTCCAATTGCTCCTGTAGATTATTCTGAGGGACCGCAGCCATGATCCTATAAAGCAAGGGGGAAAAAGTATCAGTGGAGTCCCTTTGCATTAATCACAATATTGGGGGAGGGAAACTGGATTCAAGGGGTCACTGTTTTAATTGTGCTCAGAGTAACAAGCGGCATTTTTTTTTGCATTAATAGAATATTGTGAATATACAGTTGGTGCTATCTGAAATATCTAACGAGTAACAAAATGACTTGGTTTCCCCTTAAAATAGAAATGAGTACAAACGACATTAGGGAAGGAGTCCTAGAAAGAATGGATTACTGGGAAAGAGTAGGCAGAAAATGGGACCTGGTCTGAGCTCTAAAGATAACTGGAAACGGGACAGGAGTGAGAATGGGGAGTGAGTCTGTGATCAAAGAAATGAATGTATTCCAAATGTTCTATCCAAGGTCAAAAACTGGTAAAGCAACAATAGTAGCACCAATTAGAGCAATAGTTTACCAGCAAGACCATGCTTAACTAACCATCCAGTTTCTACTTTCTTGTGATTTTACCAAGCATATTTTATATTCTTTGTGTACCAAAATGCATATTGGGAAGCTATTTCCAGGGATAACATACAGTGTTTTTGTTAGATTCCAAGCAACAGCAGAACTAGTCTGGCAGCCTTTTCCCCCACAAATTAGCAAGCTCATTCTTAAAATGCATAAAAAAAATGCTAGAGACCCAGAAGATTCAATCTTGAAAATGGACTGAAGAACAAAATAGGAAGAGTCAAGTCATGTTTCACAATTTCAAAACTTACTGCAGAGCGACCACAAGACAGTGTTAGTGGCTTAAGCACGGACATACTGATCAACACTGAATTTTGGCAAAGTTGTCCAAACAATCCATATAGAAATGAATAAGTCTTTTCACAAATGGTGCTTGGATAGCTGGCTATCCACAAGGAAAAGAATTAGAGGCACATCTCATATCACACCTAAAAAGTAACTAAAAATGGATCCTAAACATAACAGTTAAAACTAGAAAACCTTTAGGAGAAAATATAAAGGTCAATCTTCATCACCTGGGATTAAGCAATGATTTCTTAGAGATAACACGCAAAACGTAAGCAATGAATGAAACAGATACAGAAAACTATTATTGAAATAATAAACTTCGGTTTAAAAGAATATCATCAGGAAAGTGAAAAGAATGCAATGGGAGCTAATCTATGCAAATCAACTATATAAGGAATTGACAAGAATCCATTAAATAACCTTGTTGTTAAGTGCTGTCAAATGGACTATGACTAAAAGCAACCCTACAAACATATCTGAACCTAGCCCTATCCTGCAAGACCCTCACCATCTCTGACAGGCTCAAGTGCACTGTGAACAGCCACTGTACCAATCCATCTTGATGAGGGTCTTTTTCCAAAGACGGGTCCCATCTGATAACATGTCTAAAGTATGGGAGATGATGTTACACCATCCTTGCCTGAGGAACACCTTGGCTGCACTCTTCTCAATAGAAGACAATTTATACAATAAAAAAAAAAACAACAAACAAAACAGGCGTAGGTTCTGAATAAACATTTCTGCAAAGAAGACATACAAATGGTGAGTAAACGCATAAAAAAAGATGCTTAACATCACAATCAAGGTACCACTTCACACCCACTAGAATAGCAATGATCAAAAAGTGAACAATAATAAGTGATGGGGAGAAAGTGAAGACATAGCCAAGTCCTCATACAGGTAAGAATTTAAGTCACACTTCTACTATGGAAAACAGTTCTCCTAAATGTTTTAAGTACAAGATCCAGAAATTCTACTAGTTACAATAGAAATGAAAACAAATGTCCACAAAAAACCCACATCACTAATGTGCACGGTAGTAACATTTGTAAAAGGCAAAAAGTGGGAACAACTCAGTATCCATCAACTGATTAATACAGAAAATGTGGCATGGCCACGCAAGAATAATATACAGCCAGAAAAAGGAATGAAGCACTGATTCATGCTACAAAGAAGCTTGAAAATACGATACTAAGTGGAAGAAGTCAGTTACAAAAAGACCATGTATTGTTTGATCCGATTTTCACAAAATATCCAGAAAAGGTGAGTCTATAGAAAGTGGATTAGTGATTGCCTTAGGTGGCAGTGATACAAGAATGTCCGTCTTTAATAATAAGAGCAGACGTTACTGATCAAGACCTGTTGTGGTTATGTGCCGTGGAGTCATGTGTGACTCATAGCAACCCTATGTACAAAAGCCCTAAACCGTGCTCTATTCTGTGCCAACCTCATTGTCTCCAACACAAATTCTCCCACTACCCCAATCACTGAACTGATCCATCTCATCGAGGGTCTTCCTCTCCTGTGCTGTCCCCTCCTCTCTCCCAAACATGATGTCCCTCTCCAAGGACCAGTCCCTCCTTGCAACATGCCCAAAGTATGTCAGACGAAGCTTCAGAATCCTTGCCTCCAAGAAGCAGCCAGACTTCACCCTCTGCAGGACAAACCTGTTTGTTCTCCTAGCAGTCCATGGTTTATTCAACACTCTTCTCCAGCACCACAGCTCAAAGGTTTCAATTCTCTTTCTATCATCCCTAGTCCAGCACTCTGATGCATAGCACGTAATTGTACTATGGCCCAGACCAAGCGCACCTTAGCCTCCAGCCTGTCGTTGTTCTTCAGTACTCTTGAGAGGTCCCTCACAGCTGACTTTCCCAATGCAATTCGTCTCTTGATTTCCTGGCTGCTATTATCAAGAGTGTTGACTGTGGAACCAAGTAAACTAAAACTGTTAACTATCTCAATCTCTTCACCATCCATACTGATGCTGCCAATGGTAAGAATCTTTGTTTTCTAGATGTTGAACTTCAATCCGTATTGACGACTGCAGTCCTTGACCTTCTGCAGCAAGCGCTTCAGGTCCTCCTCAGTTTCAGCAAGCAGTGTTGTGTCATCTGCATAACACAGGTTGTTGAAGAATCTTCCACCAATCCTGATGCCACATTCCTCCTTGTATAGCCCAGTGTTCTGGATGATCTGTTTTGCATAGAGATTGAAAAAGGTATGGAGACAGAATACATCTGTGGTGGACCTCCTTCCCAATTTTGAACCATGCAGTGTCTCTTTGCTTTGTTCTGAAGATTGCTTCTTGGTCCAAGTATAGGTTTCGCATAA